TAATAATATGATCGTTTTTCCCCTAAAAAAAGAGATACATGTAATTATTTCAAATTCTTATCCTAATTTTATTATTCTAATTTTAGGCTAGTTGTCCTATTCACAATCAAAACTTTGTATTTTGAATTATTAGTGTCTTGTATATTTTGCAGTGCTACAAATTGGTTATTTCTCGACATCAATCACGCGCCGTAGAAAATTCGAGTGTGGACATAAGAAAAGAAAGAAGGAAAAAATAAAAAAATCACATGATTTCTTTTGTTGAAACAAATTAAGTGATATGCAAATGTAATTCTCTTGTCAAAGGTTGTTAGTATTTTAATGTTGCGGTTTAAAAAAAAAAAGTCGATTATATATATGCGATGGTTTGTTAAATATTTTGATAATCATTTTTCTTTTTACTGCACTGGTTATGGCTTGATTATCAAGTTAGGTTTTCCTTTCGTTGATTCGTCCTTGCGTCGCACGTAGAATTTCTTAAAAAAAGAGCGTACGGATTTGGTCTCATGAGGCTCGTAAGCTCGGGTTAACAAGGGCAAGAGATAAAGTCTTCCTCTTTAAACTCAATAATTTACACGAGTTTTTATTGACATTTCTCTATATCTTTATGTTCGAAATTTGTTGATCGCATGTATATATATTTTTGCTATATATCGTATATTAAACAAAAACGATCTGCCGAATAGTTTAGGTAATATGTTTTAGTTTCTAAAAATCGTTTTAGTTTGCGTTAATGGCCTATATAATTTTGCACGTATCAAAAACTTTCATTCTTGCCGAATAAGAATTAGTTTTATTGGATTTGGATTTTCTCGGAATAAAAATATATTTACCTGAATTTATTCTTCAATATTGAAGCTCGCACGTGTCTCTTATAGTTCGCACTTATCATTTGAAATCGAAATTTTTCATCCACGTGTTTATTCGATTTAATTTACCTAAAGCTCGTGGTTATTTATTACTTAAACCGGCTCTATTCGATCTAAGTTTTGTTTGCAGCCCGCTTATTTATTAGAGCTCGATGTTAATAAGTTCGCCCTCGTTAAAATTATGCGATCTAACATTTACTTGCACCCGTCCATCTAGTAGAGTTTGATCTGCTCACAAGCTCGGTGTTAATAAGCCGTTTTTATTAGGATTATTTGAATTAATCTATTTTTTTCAGCTCGCAAAAATCTATTACAGCTCGGTATTATGATGAGCTCGCCGTTATTGGAAATATTCGAGATAACCTTTATTTGCAGCTCGCCTAATGTTAGAGCGCGGTATTAATAAGCTCGCTATAATTAAAATTTATTAAAACATCTTTTTTTTTTCTTTTTAGGTCGCTTATCTATTAGAGATCGGTATCAATGTGTTCGTTATTTTTAGAATTATTTGAACTAACCACTTAATCGCAGCTTGATGAACTATTGGAGTTCGGTGTTTATTTGAATTTATTTACCGGAGCTCGCATTTGAATCAAATTATAAAAGAAAAATATGAAGGTACAAATTACCAAAACCCCTAGTGTCGTTCGATCTTGTACATCATGGAACATCTCCCCATAGATCTATACATAATAACACAACAGATACGTGTATGCAAATGTATTAAAGGGTGGGCATCGGGTCGGGTAATTGGTGAAATTCAGGTCGGGTACCCAAAAAATCAGGGAGTGATTTAAGGTATCCGATACTGACCCCAAAAAAGTCGGGTACCAGAAATCGGGTCGGGTTTTTTTATGAAGATTATGCAAACCTAATGTGTTTGATCACTTTCACCATCAATTTATGCCTTTCCCACATCCAAATTCGCACCAACTTTCACATCGAATCAAGAATTTTACCTTTCCAATCAAACACATTTCGTATTCTTAAATAACATATTATTTACCGAATATAAGAAACTGGCTGCAGAAGTTTCTAAAACAGTAGTGCTTCCTTCAAGTTCATGAAATACTTACAGAACAACAAATTGAAAACAAACGCTCTGCATATATATAAGAGGGTTTTGACGATTTATAATGTACCACGGAATTCTACCCCCAAAAAAAAAAAAAACACCGGGGATTGGGTATATAAGATACTCGCACCCGATTGATTGCACATGCCTAATGTATATATATGCAGGTGTACGTGCTTTCCAACCTTGTAAAGATACTTGCAGATCAGAATTCACATATTGGCAGAAGAAATTATGTAAATACAATTGAAAAAAAAACACGGCAAACGAAATTAATCCCGTCTCAAGCTTAAACCCAAAATGTAAAAAGTGATGTTTCTAAAATCCCAAAAAACAAAACAGAGACCAGTGGAAATCGACACCACCTGGTTTGTAGATAATATTCAAAAGCATAAATCCCAGCACCAAATTCGCGCTACCCGAGAATATACTAACTGACAATTTATATCACAACTAACAACAGTCAACCTTAATTTTTCTATTTAGATCAAAAGGTAAAAGGTTACCAAATTACTCAGACGGTAGAGGTGGTTCGGCAATTACAGGCACTTTTTCTTCAGTTTCTTCAATCGGGACGACACTTTCTTCAACTTCAGGCACTAGTTCTTCAGGTCGTGGCGTAATTTGTAAAGGTTCGTCAACTTTAGGCAATTCTTCTTCACTCTTCGGTAATTTACGTTTCGCGTACATTTCAAGAAGCCCTTTACCGTTCGCCTCAATACCCGCCAACCTCTTATCGAGAAGATCAACTTTTTCGGCAAACCCATTAAACTGATCAAGAAAAGGAACTCCCAATTCCTTCACCTTCTGTTCAAGAATCAAGCAACTCATCTTATACTCCTCCTCTTTCTTCTTCCGAAGCCTCTCGATTTCCGCGCCGGTCAACATAAGACCGCCCCCAGATTCGACATCCTTGTACGTCGGTTCTTCAGGCAGCCGAGCCCTTTCCTTGTACTCCGCAAACGACTTTGAAACGTCCTTCAACGCCTTGCGGTAACCTTCCAAAACACCCCCCATCATATATATTTCCCGTTCAAGGCGGTAAATTTCCCCATCCTTCTTCTGCGTCTCTTCGAATCTGGCCTTGTGCAAATCCGCTATCACGGAATCCCGTTTGTGCACTTCCTCGAGCAGGACCTGTTGGCTCATATTGGACCGCGCAAGATTCTGCTCCTTCTCCTCGTAGAACATCCTAGCTCTTTCGGTCATTTGCTGGATTTGCTCCATGCACATACCGAAATCGACCGGCTTGTTATTATTATTATTATTATTATGGTCCCACAAAGAATCACCGAGCCTCAATCTTTTATTGCTGTCATTATGTGGGATATGATTGTCGTGCCCAATCACCCTCTTGCCCATGTCGTTGAAGAAAGACGGGGTCGAAGCAATGTGCTGAACATCGTTCACTAAAGATGGATTGTAGAGCTGATTCTGCGATGCGAAGCCCATATGTGTAGCTTCCATTGTTTGAAGTAGATTCCCAGTGAATCCATCTTCGTCGGTTGGGAAACCGTGAAACTGGTTTTCAGGTTCCTCCTCGTTTTCCTCCTCACCAATCTCTTCCTCATCGGTGCTCGCGTAATCTCCCGCCTTTTCTGCATTACACCGCTGCAAGAAATGCTCTCCCATATTGTTTTTCCCATGCATAAGCCACGGTTCTTGATCCTCCTCCTCCTCCGCTTCATCAATTTCCTCGTCTTTTTCCGCATCCACCATTTCGGCATCTTTCAATTCGTCTTCATTCTCACTGTCCTGTCCGAGTGTGAGCTCAGTGCTCGGTCCCTCCATGACACAATCATCCGTCTCAAGACTCAGATTAACTGCATCGTCTTCTTCTTCATCCTCTTGTTCTTCTTCTTCGTCTTCTTCTTTGGACTCTGCATTCAATTCAACATCTACAAAAGCAGGCTCCTCGATAAAGAACTTTTCGCCCCGCTGGAACTTCATCAAGTGCTGCAGATGCGACGCGTAGTAACAATCCGTCAACTGATCGCCTTTCTTCAACTCCTTCTCGACCATGAACCAAAACAACCCAGCCCAATCAACCTTCTCCGGGTGCCCATCCTTTATCACCTTCAGCCATTCAATCACCTCGTTCGGCATCATCCACATATCCTCGTGCAGAAGAACCCAATCGGAAACAAACTCAACAACAAACCCTATCGACTCACCCGATAGAGGCTCCCAATCCGAGTCAACTTCCACCACACCCGCTTTGCCCTTCTCCTTCTTGATAGGCAACTTCAACGCACGCGCCAAGTCGGCTCGATTGACATTGATACGGCAATCCTTGACGTAGCTAACACGCGGATTCACACCGTAGCTAGCAACCAACTGCGCAATCAAGTCGGCCCTTACGTCCCTGTCGAAAGTTATGTGAACAAAGTCCCACAAGCCAAGCCTCTTCAGAAGCTTCTCGTGCTTGGCGAAATCGAGAATCTTGTTCGCTAGAAAGGGGATGGGGTTCAATTTTTTCGACAAAGCTTGGAACTTTTCATCAATGGCTTGCTGTTTCTTGATGCTGGGCTTACCTTTAGCTTTGGCTTTACTTTTACCCTTCTTCCGTTTCTTGGCTCCACCACGCCTAGGGTTTGGGGTGTCGGGTGGCGACGTGATTGTGACATCAGAAATGGACACGTGGCGTTCAGTGATTGGCATACCTGATGAAATTGCTAGGGTTTCTTGTTCTTCTCCTTCGTCGTCGGCTTCCTCTTCTTCTTCTTCATCGGCGGCGCTATTCTCTTCCGGATCGGGAATTGGGTGTGGAGAATGGTTAATTTCTAGGTCGGATTTTGGGGTTTGATTTAGGGTTTCTTTGTTCAGGGAGAGAGAAACTTCAAATACGACGTCGGATTCATTGGATACTTGTTTCTCCAGAGGTTGTTCGGCCGGCGACGAACTGGACATAGCTGTAAACTCTCTCTCCCTCTTTCTCTCTCTCTCTCTCTCTCTCTCTCTCTCTCTCTCTCTCTATATCAATCTCTCTCTCTCTCCTCTCTCTCTCTACAATGAATTGGGACTGTGTTTGAAATACCAGTCCAGTGCCTTCTTTTCCTTTTTTCTCTTCCTATTTTCACCAAGTGGATCACTATTTCAAATCTCAATTTTTGGTTACTTGAATACCAAAAAAATAAAAAATAAATAATTAATTGTAAATTACTTTAATACCCTTAATGAAATTTAAACCAAAAAAATATTACAAATACTATTTTCTTTCTTAAATACCAAATAATAAAAAACTCAAAAAAACCATTTCCCTCCTTACTCACTAACCCCTCACCTCCTCCACCTCCTTCTTCTCCCTCCCCAAAAACCCTTCTAAAAAATCTTCCTCACAACAAACCCTTCTAAAAAATCTCACAACAAACCCTTCTAAAAAATCTCAAAACTAAAGAAATTAAAACCTCACAAAACGTATAAAATTGAGTTATAAGACAATAATATGGTAGTATATATGAAAGGAGAACACATTAATGTAAGTATCGATGTCTTTTTTGAGCTTCGAAGTCGATTTTGAAGTTTTTTTTTTTGAAACCCGCCGGCAATTTTCGACACGTACAGGTCGATTTTTTGGTCAATTTTCGACACCAACGTGTCGGAAAAAAAAAAAAAAAAAAGAAAGAAAA